GGTTTTGGTGTACCCATCACCTGAGTAGTGTATACTCCAAAGGTAATTTTTCGTCCTTCACCCCATCCCACCCCCACCCTTGTGAGCCTCCAATTTCCATTATACCACTCTGTGTGCCCTTGTGTAGCCATAGTTTAGCTCCTACTTGTAAGTGAGAACATGTAGGTGGCATTTATTTTTCTGTTGGTGAGTTACTTCACTTAGGATAACGGCCTCCAGTTCCACCCAAGTGGCTGCAAAAGACATTTCGTTCTTTCTTATCACTGAGTAGTACTCCACGGTGTATGCATACCACATTTTCTTAATCCATTCATCAGTTGCTTGGCATTTAGGTCAATTCCATATCTTGTGATTTTGAATTGTACTTTGATAAATATATGAGGGCAGGTATTCTTTTGATATGATTTCTTTTCCTCTGAGTAGATACTGAGTAGTGAGTTTGCAGGATCAAATGGTAGATCTACTTTTAATTCTTTGAGAAATCTCTATATTGATCTCCACAAAGGTTGTAATAATTTACATTCCCATCAACAGTGTATAAGTGTTCCCTTTTCACTGCATCCACACCAACATCTATTGTTTTTTTTACTTTTTAATAATGGCCATTCTATTTGGAGAGAGTTGGTAAATCATTGTGGTTTTAATTTGCATTTCTCTGATGATTAGTGATGTTGAACATTTTTTCATGTATTTTGGCCATTTGTACATCATCTTTTGAAAAATGATTGTTCATGTCATTCACCCACTTTTTAATGGGGTTGGTTGTTTGTCTTGCTGAGTTGTTTGAGTTCCTTGTAGATTCAGGATATTATGCCCTTGTTGAACACATAGTTTGTAAATATTTTCTCTCACTCTGTAGGTTGTCTATTTAATCTTTTGATTATTTTGTTTGCGGTGTAGAAGCTTTTTAGTTTAATTAAATCCCATTTGTCTATTTTTGTTTTTATTGCATTTGCTTTTGCAGTCTTACTTACTAATTCTTTGCCTAGGCCAATGTCCAGAAGAGTTTTTCCTAGGTTTTCTTTTAGAATTTTTATTGTTTAAGGCCTTACATTTAAGTCTTTAATTCATCTTGAGTTAATTTTTCTATATGGTGAGAGACAGGGATCAAGTTTCATCCTTCTGCCTGTGGCTATCCAATTTTCCCAGCACTATTTATTGAAGAGTGTGACCTTTTCACAGTGTTATGTTTTTGTGTGCTTTGTCAAAGATCAGTTGGTTGTAGGTATATGGTTTTATTTCTGGGTTCCCTATTCTGTTCCAATAATCAATGTGTCTACTTTTATGCTAGGACCAGGCTATTTTGCTTACTGTACCTTTGTATTATAATTTGAATTCAGGTAATGTGATCCCTCCAATTTTGTTCATTTTGCTTAGGATTGCTTTGGCTATTTGGGCTCTTTTTTTTTTTTTTTTTGGTTCCATATGAACTTTAGAATTTGTTTTTCTAATTCTGTGAAAAATGACATTGCTATTTTACTAAAAATTGCATTGAATCTGCAGATTACTTTAGGCAGTATTATCATTTTAACAATATCGATTCTTCCAATCCAAGAGCATGGGATGTTTTTCTATTTGTGTTGTCTATGATTTCTTTAATCAATGACTTATAATTCTCCTTGTAGAGATGTTTAATTTCTTTGGTTAAATTTATTCCTAAGTATTTTGAGGGGTTTGTAGCTATTATAAGTGGGATTGAGTTTTTTATTTGGTCTCAGCTTGAACATTATTGGTCTATAGAAATGCTATCAGTTTTTGTACATTGATTTCGTAACCTGAAACTTTGCCAAATTCATTTACCAAATCTAGGAGTCTTTTGGAGGAGTCTTTAAGGTTTCCTGGGTATAAGATCATATCATCATCAAACAAAGATAATTTGACTTCCTTTTTTTGAATTTGGATGCCCTTTAGTTCTTTCTCTTGCCTGATTGCTCTGGCTAGGACATCCAGTGTTGTGTTGAATAGAAAGTGGGCATCCTTATCTTGTTCCAGTTCTTAAGGAGAATGCTTTGATCCTTTCCCCATTCAGTTTTATATTGACTGTAGGTTGTCATATATGGCTTTTACCATTTTGAGGTGTATTCCTTCTATGCCGAGTTTTTTGAGGGGTTTTATTATAAAGGGACACTAGCTTTTATTGAATGCTTTTTCTGCATCTATTGAGATGATCATATGGTTTTTGTTTTTAATTCTGTTTATGAAGTCAATCACATTTATTGACTTGTATATGTTCAACCATCCTGGGGGCTGAATCCCATTTGATCAAGATGAATCATCTTTTTGGTACTGTTGGATTCAGCTTACTAGTATTTTTGTTAATGATTTTTATGTCTATGTTCATCAGAGATATTGGTCTGTAGTTTTCTTTTATTGTTGCATCATTTCCTGGCTTTGGTATCAGGGTGATACTGGGTTTGTAGAATGAGTTAGGGAGGATTCTAGATCTTTTGGAATACTTTTAGTAGGATTGGCACCAGTTTTTCTTTGTATTACATGTCTGGTAAAATTCAGCTGTGAATTCATCTGGTTCTGAACTTGGTTTTTTGGGGGAGATTTTTTATTACTGATTCAATCTGACTACTCATTATTGTTCTATTAAGGAGTTCTATTTCTTCCTGGTTCAATCTTAGGAGGTTGTATGTTTTCAGGAATTTATCCATTTCCTCTAGGTTTTCTAGTTGGTGAATGTATAGTTGTTCTTAATAGTCTCTTATGATCTTTTGCATTTCTGTAGTGTCAGTGGTAATGTCCCCTTTATCACTTTTTATTGTGTTTATTTGGATCATCTTTCTTCTTTTTTTGGTTAGTCTAGCTAGTGGTTTATGAATTTTGTGAATCTTTTTGAAGAACCAACTTTTTGTTTCATTGATCCTTTGTTTTGTTTTTGGTCTCTATTTCATCTAGTTCTGCTCTGATCTTTGTTATTTCTTTTCTTCTGCTAACTTTGTCTTTAGTTTGTTCTTTTTCTAGTTCCTTGACATGTAATATTAAGTTGTTAATTTGTGACCTTTCTACTTTTTTGATGTAGAAATTTAATTCTATAAACTTCCCTCTTAGCACTCCTTTTGTTGTATCCCACAGGTTTTGGTATGCTGTGTTTTCTATTTCATTTATTTCAAAAATTGTTTACTTTCCATCTTTATTTCTTCATTGACCTGGTGGCATGTTGTTTAATTTCCATGTATTTGTATAGTACCTGAAATTCCTCTTCATATTAATTTCTAGGTGTATTCCACTGTGATCTGAGAAGATATTTAATGATTTCAATTTTTTAAGACTTGTTTTGTGACCTAAACTGTGGTCTAACTTGGAGAATGTTCCACCTGCTGATGAGAAAAATGTTTGTATTTGACTTTCAACAATTTGGTTACAATGTTTATCATTGTAGATCTTTTGGGGATTATCCTACTTGGAGTTCTTTGAGCTTCTTGAATTTGTATGCCCATTTTTTTCCTCAAATTTGAGAGGTCTTCGGCTGTTATTTCTTCAATAGGCTCTCTGTCCCTTTATCTCTCTCTTCTCCCTCTGGCACTTCTATAATGCATACATTGGTCTGTTTGATGGCAACCTATAAGTCCCTTCAGTTCTCTTCACTTTTCTTCATTCATTTTCCTTTTTGCTCCTCTGACTCAATAATTTCAAATGAACTGTCTTCAGTTTCACTGATTCTTTCTTTTCCTTGATGCAATCTACTGTAGAACCCTTCTAATGAATTTTTCAATTCACTTATTGTGTTCTTTAGCTCCAGAGTTTCTGTATGGTTCTTTTAAAATAATTTTGATCTCGGTTGACATTCTCATTTTGTTCATGCATTATTTCCTAATATTATTTAGTTGTCTATTTGTGTTCTCACTGGGCTACTTTAAGACAATTATTTTGAATTCTGTGTTAGGTTATTCATAGATCTCCATTTCTTTAGGATCAGTTTCCTAAAATTTATATTGCTCCTTTAATTTCATCATTAGGTTCTCCTGTTTCTTCTTATGCCTTGTTATTGTTTATTTTTGCAGGGATTTGAAAAATCTGCCACTTCTCCCAGTCTTTATTGACTGGCTTCATACAGAAGACCTTCACCAATCAGTCTGGCTGTAGATTCTGCAAGCCTGTGAAACTTTATCTGGGGCTACATCTTCTCTGGGTTGATACGTGCAATACCCCAATTAGAGAAGTTTGCCAGTTTCTTTTTCTAGAGCTCTTCTTTCTCTGATGTCTTTCTATGGTACTGCAGGTTCTCTGATGGGGCAACACGTCTCTGACCTCTCTCTTGTTCTCAGTGGCCCCCAGGAATCCAAAGTATGCAGATTCAGAGTCAGGTGAGACAGAGACTAGTACCTCAGGAAACCTCCCAAAAATGTTCTAATCTTCCATTTTCCTCACAATGAAAAAACCACAAATTGGGTGTTTTTTTTCCTGTTGCACCAACCGGTTCCAGCTTTGGGAAAGCCTATCATGAGTATAATACAGAAACTTTTCTTACTTGTTCAATGCCACTCTTCTTGGCTTTGCATTTGCACGTAGCACTGCAACTTCTTACTGGTTTATGGGAATTCCATACAGGCTTTTATACCAAAAATTGTTGTTCAGTTGGTGTCTCTGTGGGGAATCAAGGTTTGGAGCTTCTCATTGTGCCTTCTTGCTGATGACACTCTGTTTCTATTAATACTATTTTTACTAGAAAAATGTGTCTAAAAATATACTTACTTTAGCGAGTCAAATACCCAGAGTATAACTGAACTTTTTATGACTCAGAATCAGTTTTTTGTTTATTTTTTGTTTTTAACTTATTACAGTGAACCATAAGTATGAATATACTAACATTCATGAATACAGAATATATTAAAAACTCATTGAGCCTTGGCTATTTCTAGGGTTGACCCTGGAATAAAAGTTTTTATGCTGCTATTGTTAAATTGTTCTTTTTATGTTTAAATCATTTATTTCCTTTTTACGTCAGAGAAGAATCATTAATATAGCCCTTATCAGCCATGTGCTTAGTGTCACAGGTCATCTCTTGTCAGTCTCTCTCTGTTTTTCTACCTCACCTGGTCTTTTAGTTTGGGTGCATAAGAGGAGCACATTGCAGCTTGTTAATTCTTTGTTTTTTTGGCCTATTTGTACAGTGAAAATTTTTGAGTTATGTATATATTAGATTACTGAGTACATATTTAATTTATTAACTAGATCTATATATTTTCATACATCACTATTAATGTCCATTTTCATATATTCGTTCTATAAAATACTTACCTTTCTTTGGGAACCACCTAGATTTGATTTTGTGATGTGTAGTGTATGTGAAAATATTTCTCTCTGAAATGTTTCCTTTATTGTGTGCCCTTACAGGCAGTATAATTAGTAACCTTCTATCCTCTGTACGGGACATATTTGTTGGTGTGTTGGCAGGAATTATTTTGGGATTTTTTGTTCAATATTTCCCAAGTGGAGATCAGGTAAATAAAAAATTAATCTATTTTGTAGAAGTGTAGTATTAGACATTTCTTCAAAAATTTGAACTTTGGGAAGATCCATGAAATATTAAGTTCAATACTTAACTCTCTCTCCCCAAAAGTAGCCTCAGATGCCTACTCTGTGCTTAAAACTGAGCACAGTAGTGATTTCTATGGGTCAATGGCCTTCACTGAAGTCTCTGCTCCCTGATTTAGCAAATAAGGAATATCAGAAAAATGTACTTAACTGAGTATTTCTCCGCTTTATACCATCGTTTTCTCTACTAAATTGCCTATTGATGTTTGACAATTTCCTAATCTTTTCCCCCAAACTTTCCCTGAAACATTTTTGGAGGAGATAGGTTTCCATTTATCTCTACATATTTTCTGACTTAAATTTTCTTTGACTCTCCTTTGACAAAGACAACACTATTAAATTGAACTCTTTCCTGACTTAAAGAATATGCCATTACTTTTGTATTTCTATAATTTTCATCTTAATTTACCTGAAACAATTATTTGACTATGGAGATATCCAAAAATTTATTTTTAAGAATTCATGCATGTGTTATATGGAAGCGAAGGTTCTTTGGGTCTCTATTGTCATCCTCACAGTTAAAGTAATAATACTTTAACTATTTTATTGATATTAGTATCAGAAATGTGGGAGAATATGAAACTTTAATAATTGCAACTTTCGTTACTTGTATCAAGTCTGCTAAAATATTTGGTGAGAAAGAA